CCCCAAAACCCCAAAACCCCAAAACCCCAAAACCCCAAAACCCCGAACATCCTTTATTAAGTTGAAACTGAATAATTGATAAGTGTAAATTAGTACAGGTCTAATTAAAATCAGTGAAAGTTCCTTTACTTCCATTCTGCTGATTGAACATGGCTTCTGCATGAACTTTGAAGCCAGGCTTCCCTCTTTTACCTCTGCCATATGGCTTGGTAACCTCCTCTATCTGTTTTTTAGATTCATGGTGCCTGGTTGGCTTTTCCTTGAAGGCTGTGTCTCCTTTTGAGTGCACAAAGTCACGCCCTGCCAGAGCTGTAGATTTGTGTTCAACCTTAGGATCACTTGCCATGCCTCCTAATGGTCTTGAAGGAGGCTTCTTATCATCTCCTTGCCTTAAAGTCTTATTAATGCTCATCAGCTGATTAGCAAATAAAGCCTTATGTTCCTTCTTCCTTTGATCACTAATTACTGGTTTCTTATACTCCTCTCCACGCTCAAGTTCTTTACTTTCTTCAGTCGTTTTTAGAGGTGGTTTAGGTTTTGTATTCTTGTAGTGATTTTTGGCTTGATTTTGCACATAAGGCTGGTCCCCTCTCTCCTTCTTATTTTCATAATCATGGTTCTTCTCTTTGTAATGATTATGCTTGGGTGGAAAATTTTCCTGAGTCTTGTGCTCTCTTCCTCCCTTTCCGTTCCATGCTTTTTGATTGAATTCCTTCTTGTAATTTTGATTTTTGAATTTGCTTCCTTTAAGTTTCCCTGAGGATTCGTTCCTACCTTTATAATGATGCTTCCCTTGATAGAACTCCTTAGTTTTCCTATTATCGTTTGTTAAGCTATGATATCTTCCCTTGGACATCTTATTAGCTTTTATCACCCAATCATATTGGAAGTCATTCTGGAAATTCTTATTAGTGAACATCTCAGCCAAAAGAGTCCTCAGAGCAACGTAATCAGGAGTATCTTCAAATCCAATATTTCGAACTAATTCAAAGAACTTTAAGAACTGTGATGGTAGATTCTTCGATAAATCAGTAATTGGAGTATCAATCTTCTTCTCCTTAATTTTTTGATATTTTTCTTCTTTGGTGTCACCCGAAACTCCTTGCCATGGGAGGCAACCTTTAAGGAAGTAAATCATGACAAAGGCTATTGACTCAATATCATCCCTCCTCGCTTGCTCTTGACCAATATGAGTGTTCAATGAAGCATACCTTGCAGTACCAGTCAAACTTTTTCCGTCTCTGTACGGAATATGCTCCCCAGTTTTTGGATCAACAAACCTTTTCGCCAGTCCAAAGTCAATAATGTAAAGTATATGGGAGTTCTTTCCATTTCCCATCAAGAAGTTGTCTGGTTTAATATCTCGATGGAGGAAATTATTAATATGGACAAATTCAATCCTTTGAAGCATTTGATCACCGAGCATGAGCACTGTCTTTAGAGAAAACTTATTTATTACAAAAGCAGAATAGGTCTTCAAGAGATCTCCCTAGTAAATCCATAACCATTCAGTAGTAATCCCCTACTTCTCCATAAAAGTAAACAGTTGGTATTCCTTTGCCCCCTTTCAAATAATGATAAACTCTTTCTTCATATTTAAGCTGGGGATGCTTCTCAGAAACCTTCTCAACTTTGCAGGCAAACTTCTGCTTAGTAGTAAGATGTCTGGCAAGGTAAATATCTCCAAAAGCACCGTTGCCAATCCTCTTCTCCAGTCTGTATTTATCCACAATCGTTTGCTCGAGATCCATAATGCTTCAGGCACAAGTTCAATATTATAATTATTGGCTGGGGTTTTGGGGTTTTGGGGTTTTGGGGTTTTGGGGTTTTGGGG